CCATACAAAAAAAATGCGTCAAAATTCTAAAAAATCTGAATAAAAAGTTGAAAATTTAGCTGAAACTTTGCAGATTTTCCATAATTTTTGCACAAAGTCTTAAATCTGGACTTATATGGGGTTTGTTATATAATGAGCTAGACTTTTATGGAAAAATAATAAACATTAGATAAACGAAAGCAAAATAGCCAAAATTTATCAAAATGTTGCTGGCTTAATTAGCTGATCACAAGTGTATGTATAGATTGCCACTGACCAAAAACCCCACAGTAAAAAAGGCGAGTGCAGCACCGTACTCGTGATAGAAGTGAAACTTCTTAAAAAAACATATATGTTTCAATGGAATTGACTTTTTTTTTTGTTTTTTTTCAACTTAAATACATATTTATTCAATTTTACATTTAATGCTAATCTAAACATGTATAACGCAAAATATGATTTAAATAATAATAATAAAAAAACACTATTATTATAATAACGAACTATCAAAAAGTCTTTCACAATATTCTCTCATCTTTGTATGTATGTATGTATATATAAATAGTTTATCATTAAAATTTTTGCACCAAATTGTTTTGCTTTAGTCACCGCTATATATGTATAATATACATTATATAAATATAATTTAATCTTTTAAGTGCACATAAAGCACAGGTCCACTGTATACATTTAATTCTTTCAATATCCTAAAAGTGCGCACTAACAAAAAATTACATACATATGCATAAGCATGTAAATATGTATGTATGTAATTTAATTTATGAAAATTTTTACGTACAATCATGTTTTTTAATTTTTTTTTTCGAGCCCAGTCAAAATTAAACAGATACATCCAATATACATAGATAACGGACGAATGCCCGATTTCGAACACACTTAATTTCCACATTTCCAAAATTACGATTTATTGAAACCTAACGATTCATTTCATTTCATTTTTTTATACCCGAGCGCACAAGGGTATTATAACTTTGTTCACATAACGGTTGTTTGTAACAGGCAAAACGAATCGAGATAGATATAGACAAATGTATACATAAATGATCAGAATGAAAAGAGAAATCGATTAAGCGGTGACTGTCTGTCCGTCCGTCNGTAAACCATTGAAAATTGTTGAAATCGGACTAAAATTACGGCCGCTTTTCATATAACGGTAAATTTCAGAAATGCTTGAAATTTCAATATTTTCAAATTTAAGAACGCTAGTTTATTTAAAATTTACACACGCCGGCTTATCAGGTAGCGGTAGCTTTTGGAAAGGTGGAAAACATATATTTAATACTTGCGCCGGGTATTTAATGTTCGGCTCCGCCCGAACTTAGACTTTCTTACTTGTTNATATATTTAATACTTGCGCCGGGTATTTAATGTTCGGCTCCGCCCGAACTTACACTTTCTTACTTGTTTTTTTTTACTTAGTTATTAATTTATTTCCAAAGAAATTAGTTTAACAAAAGTATACAACAATATCAAGTCAAAGTACATATTAATGTTCCTCTGCGCCAAATGGCTAAAAAGAGGATATCTGACAACTGAATCATAGAAGGAGTTTAGGGAGAAAAAAATAACAAAAATTTTACAATTGAGAATTATATACTTAACATTTTACATAAGAAGCGATTCCATACTTTCCAGAAGATAGCTTTTTAATTCGATTTTGAAAAGCGATACACGTTCCAGTGTTTTAATGGAGTTAGGTAATTTATTAAATTGGTTAGGTCCGGCATATTCTATTCTTTGCTTCGATACCTCTAGCCGGCATCTAGTTACTCTAAGCAGTTCACTATTTCGTGTTTCAAACATTGATTGGTTTCTATAAAACTTCAAAACATGATAACCAATACCATTTAAATTTTTAAAGACATATGTCAATAGTTGCTTTTTCTATAAGCCAAAGACTGGCAGTATTGACTTAGCATACTCTTGGAAAACACTTAACGTGGAATGCCTTCTTGATAGGTTGAATACAAGTTTTAATGCAGTATTTTGACATGACTGCAGGGACCTAAGTTCATTGGTTTGTTTTCTTTGCATTTAGGATCAATTTGTGTAAACGCGAGAACTCAGAAATCGCAATGGCATCCTGTTCAATCTTGAACCTTTAGGACAGCAGGGTGTTTGTAAGGATAAAACAAGCTTATATCATCTCGCAAACATTACAAGACGGCCATTCAAATCAATATTTTTAATGTCATTAATGTATAACTGAAATAATAACGGCCCCAAGACACTACCCTGCGGCACACCACACGTAATAGTTTTTAAGTTGCTTTTTGATCCATTTATTTCCACATATTGTTTCCGTCTCAAGAGATAATCAGCTATCAGTCTATGTTCTCTATCCCTTATACCTAACATTTCAAGTTTTTGCAATTAAATACTATGATCAACCAGATCAAAAGCTTTGCTAAAGTCGTAAAATATTCCAGCTACACCAGAATATCCTTTGTCCAACCCATCACAAACAATATTGACAACGTTGACCACCGCTTCTTCAGTGCCACAACCCCTTTTAAACCCAAATTGATAAGGATACATCACCTTTTCGGATTCTAAAAAGTGTACTAGTTGGTCATATGTATATGAGTTTCTCAAAAACTTTATCTATAATAGGCAAGACAGCTATCGGCCTAAAATCTTCAGCTTTCTTGGTGGGAGTAACATTGGGAATTGGTATAACTTTGTGAATTTTAAGGATTTCTGGATAAGTGGAATTTCTGATCATATTAATACAAAACCCTCGCCAAGAAGGGTGATATCAGATCTCTTGTTAAATAAAGAGCTTTTGGCGGAATGTTGTCGTGTCCGCAACCTTTATTTATTTCAATGTTAGATAAAGCAATTTCCATATCATGTGTGTTAACTTCATTTAAAATAAAATTATTTTGAACCTTGGTAGAAACCCGAAACATACAACATCAATCATCAGAGTGGACTTCAATGCTATTCCGTAGTTTATTTACAGACTCTAGGAAAAAATCATTTAGAAATTTAGCTTTTTCTAAATCATTTGTAAGTGGGGTATCATCCTGGCCTTTAAATTCGATAGAAGCTTTCTTTTTCCTGCCAAGAATAGTGTTAATGAAGCTCCATGTCCGTTTTGGATCTGAGCCAAACTTTTTAAGATTTGAAGAATAATAATTGTTCATCGACAATCTTGTTGCATTTTTTATGACCCTGCTTATTCTCTTTAACCTTTCGCAAACACCTTTATCGTAACCAGCCTTTTTCCTAAGTTTCAGAAGTTTCTTTTTTAGCTCTAGTAGAGCTTGTATATTATTGTTTATCCAAGGTGCTATTTCATAGCGTAGAAGGGATTTATGTTCTATTTTTTTCGTAGATAGTTCCACCGCACCTGAAATGTCCTCTACAATCACATCTGATAAGTTTGACTGGTCAACTCTTTCATACATTTTAAACTTTTCATCCAATTGGTTTCTTACGCTATCATAGTCAATGCGGTAGAAAACTTTCTCAAGAAAACAATTTTCCCGATGCTCATGAAAAATTTTGCAAATTAATAAATTATGATCTGACAATGCACATTCGATAAAATCAATTGAAGGTTTTTTGTTTAAGTTACTGAAAACATTATCTATTGACACCCCGCTTGCCCGACGAGTAACTAATGTATGGCAGCTGTGCAGTCCATACATACTAAACAAACTACTTAAAGACCGACTTGAGGAGTTTTCTGTTAATAGATCAACGTTTGAGTCACCCAAATAAACCGCAGCTCCGTTTGCGTTAGTTGACATCAAGTTATCAATAAATTTAATAAATATATTCTCAGCACACTTTTGCGATCGATACGTGGAAACAATGATAAGCGGTTTTCCGTCTATTTTGATCGCGTTAAGAGTAATTGAGATGCAATTTATATAGTTTTCATTAAATATNCTGTTAATAGATCAACGTTTGAGTCACCCAAATAAACCGCAGCTCCGTTTGCGTTAGTTGACATCAAGTTATCAATAAATTTAATAAATATATTCTCAGCACACTTTTGCGATCGATACGTGGAAACAATGATAAGCGGTTTTCCGTCTATTTTGATCGCGTTAAGAGTAATAGAGATGCAATTTATATAGTTTTCATTAAATATTCCGTAAACTACATAATTTAATTTAGTGCTTATGTAAATAGACGTGCCACCATAACCATCTGCTCTACAGGAGTGTACGCTATTATAACCAGGAATTTCGTAAATACTGGTGTTTTCATTGTTATACCAGGTTTCTTGGATTGCTATAACATTTGGCAATTTTGCAATTCACTGAGTAAACTTCTAAGCTGGTTAAATCTACGTAAGGACGAAGCGCTTCTTATGTTTAAAGAAACAACATTTAAAAACCCATAATTAATCTGACTTAAATAATCATTATACGTTTGTAAGCATTTAAAATAGTTATTACAATTCATAAAAAATTTAATAAATATATAAAATTTAAACTAGGTGGTAGCATCGCGTTTTTGCCATTTGCTATTCACACTCTTCTTCATAAACCGCACCGTCATCAACATCAGCTGAGCCGCGGGAAGCATTTCTTCTATTTGTTGTTGCCGAAGAAGCTAATAACAAGTTGTCAACATCCTGCATACTTTTTATTGTTATTGTAGGTGTTTGCTCATTTTTCTTTACAATAACATTATTGCCTCTAACAAAGACAATGTTGAAGCCCACTGCTTTGAGGGATTTCGCGTGATTAAATAATGTGCGAGTCTCTTGACTTAAACAGTTTGAAATAAACACATCTTTCATTGATGCAATTTCCTTCAGTTTGGACTTAGCCGACATTAGTTTAGTCTTACAGTTATTGTTTGCAAATTTTACTATCATCGTCTTAGTTTTGGCACGTTTGTTTCCAACGAAGAAAGCTTGGTTGATATCATTTGATTCAATGGAGCAGCCATTCGTTAGAAATGTGCACTGCTGCTTCTTTGGCTGTTTGTTTAATGTCACCAAAAGTTATTCCTCTTACCACAACATCGTTTTAAACCCTTTCATCGTTTAGTATTCTCAACGACGACTTTAGTTCAGCGATTTCTTCACGTAAGCATCGATTCTCCTTTTCAATTACTTCGATTTTCTTTTTGTTTTCCTTCACTCCACGTAGAATGGTGTCATATTGTGATGACATGAACTGCACTGCTTTGTTTATTTCATCTAGTTGATTTAACTTCAGTTTAATTTCACTTAATCCAAGCGATATTGAAGAGTTTTGGACGTTTTCACAAAAATGACACACATAGTTTTGATTTGAACCAAGTTTTAGATCATTTAGCTGACGCTTATCGAGATCCGAACATTGAGCGTGTAAAGTTTTTAGACACCTTTCGCACTGCACCACTTCATCATTAATGTCTATGCACAATTTGCATTGGCTGCAGTCTTCTTTATTGCCTCTAGTAATCCGCGGTTTTCCAGACGGCATTTTATACTTTATATTAAATTTTTATTGCGCTTAAGTCCAAAATAAAAACGAATCCTTTGCTAAGCAAATATTTTCTTGAAAATTTCCGACCTTCTTGCACGACGTTGCCACGTTATTAAATATTAAATATTTGAATAAACTATTGGCTTTGGATAGGGTTTTTAGCAATTTATTTGGGAAAAATAAAAGATTTAGATTTTTGTTTGGATTTCCGTTGATTTTAAATTTGCTATCCCAAAATAACTGATATCAAATAAAACACCTTTTTGAGGTAAAATTTTCGAGTGACGAAAGCTGAACTAGAAACACAAAATTTATAATATCAATTTCGTGACGAGAATTATACGCATTTTTTAGCTGCCTTGGAAACTGACGCAAAATAGTATTATTTATTCGGAACGTTGCGAAGTTAGTTCTGTCTACTCTTAGAAACACAACATAAAAGGCATAACTTTAGCAACGATTCGTATGAATAAAACTATTTTGCGTCAGTTTCCAGGGCAGTTAAAGAAATGCGTATAATTTTGGTCACGAAGTTGAGATCATAAATTTTGTATTTCTAGTTCAGCTTTCGTCACTCGAAAATTTTACCTCAAAGAGGTGTTTTATTTGTATACATATCCTTTTGTAAAACTCACGGGCGTGGAGCAACGTGCAGCTTCAAAAATTGAAGTACCTCTAGTAAATACCATAGTCTGTGGTACTGCGAGCCACTGCCTGATGGCGCTGATTCCTTTCGGACTTCTTGTCCATATCGGTCACGAAGCGCTGTCCATCTCGGCCAGTGTTGGTATTTTTGGTACAATTGTACTTTTTTGATACAATTTTGTTTACAATATACTTTCCTACTACGCAGTACTTTTTAGTACAATTTTGTTATGAGTACTATAAGTATATAGCTCTGAAAATTCACTGCGGGACATCTTTTTATTATCTTTTTGTCTTCGCCTTCTCGTTTTTGCCTTTGTAAGTTTTGAAAAAAGGTTTTGAAGGAACCATTATAACATAGCACAAGGTGTACTATCAACCTCATAGTAGGGGAGCCTAAGAGGGGATTCGGGATTCGTCAGATTAACATATGGGGGATTACCCTGTATTCTGTTGAGTACCTCTGCCAAATCTAAGCCCTCTATGTAGAGCCGCGCGCATAGGAGAGCTGATCAGAATAGTAAAAAAAAATTATAGGTGGATTTACTCGAGCGCGTCACATTAAAAAATGATGGGTTAATTACATGTTGAAAAGTGTGCATTTCAATAATCTGACGATTTGAGCGTGACGCAAGGGATTGGGAGGGTCGCAAACAGGCATAAAAAAACGTTACCTGGACATTCTCGAGCGCGGTAAGTTTTTTTTTATTATGAAGCAAACAGCCGAAGGATAACGGGAAGTGTATAATCTGACGATTTCCACATGCCGGAGTAACGAAAATCGTCAACAAAGATTAGCGCGTACACTTGCTGTTTTTCAAAACTATTACGTATTTTTCTACGAAATTTGTTATTTTTTTATTTGCTTGCTGTTTTCCGTTCATATTATTTGTCACAATCATAAGACCGTAAGTATACCCAGCGGACCAAATGCTCGCAAGTGATACCAGTTGCGAGTGAAATGTGAGAATTAACCCAAACAAACTCTCACTAAAGGCCCGTGTGTTGCTCCGCTGTATATGTACATATGTAAGTATGTGCATATGCGAATCAAAACACCCACTACGATGAAATTACATGTGTAATTAAGTGCGTCTTCGATTACGATTACTTTAATCCCAGCTTGAAATTAGTTTGAATTAGGATTGAAATAATTCTAAATCAAAGGAATATTAGATTAAAATTATATTAAGAAAAATTAGTAGCACATATCAATTAAAAATTACTTTTTTAATTTACGTATGTGAATTTTACTCATTTCTCAGCTAAAATCACTAGGCATACGAATTTGTATGTAAAAAACACGAATTTTTCAGGTAATTTTGAATTCGGCAACCTTAAGTTTACTTATACATAAAAATGTTAAACTCCGCTCCCTTCTTGCTCACTCTTTATATAGTATCTTAGTACAGTATCATGCTATCATGGGCGATCAAAGCACTCGTGGTGTTACATGATATACAACCTTTTAAACTTTACTTACCTCGTTTATACGAAGGTTTCAATGAAATAACATCAACTGAATGCGATTTCCAGTATAGTGTTTATACCATGCATTTCAAAGCGGATTATGTGGCAACGCCGCTGAAATGGATTGAAGTCAGCTGTTAACTTGCTGCCAAAAGGCTGCCAGTCAGTGTTCGGAATCCTCAAGTTTCAGTAGTACATATCGAGCCCTAACCGCCAAAATAACGTAAGCGAAATTTTTTTCAAAATTTTCTTTTTGATGCAGAAACATTCCTAGAGCATCTAGATGCATTTCTGCATCAAAACAAAAATTTTGAAAAAAACGTCGCTTACGTTATTTTGGCGGTTAGGGCTCGATATGTTTGTAATTCGAAAAATCAGAGCAAAACAAAATTTCCGTAGTAGAGTTGGATTTTTACATGAACAATAATGAAGAAATTCACGAGGGGCATTCACCTTAGTAAGGAAAAAACTTTGAGAAACCTTTCATGGAAGCTTTATCTGAGTTGTGTGAAATTACTTAGATGTATGAATATTATGTTACATATTTAGGTAAATATTCATATATCTACCAAATTATGTATCATAAAATTCATATATCTAAGTGATTTCACACAACTCAGATAAAGTTTCCATGAGAGGTTTCTCAAAGCTTTTCCTTATTAAGGTGAACGCCCCTCGTGAATTTTTTCATGATTGTTCATGTAAAACTTACAATGTTTGATTCGTAAATTATGGCCCAATTTCAGATGGCCTATTTAAGTAGAGATTGTTGATTAACTTCCATTATTCATTTTCAGATCATACATTTAATCTGCACTTAAATGGCCAATGTTGGCTATTTAAATATGAGATATGCAACCCTGTGTTTGTACCAAACAACCAAGATTGTGTGGTAGGTTGTTTGATCAATCCCACCAAAAAACAATCAGCTGTTCAGCACAAAATGTAAAGAAACAAGCAAATGCAACAACAATTTCAAGGAACAAGCAGCAGCGCTGCCAATTTTTTGGCATTTTAAACAAAGTTGATCTGAAACCCAACGAAAGTTAAACGGCATTTAAACAACAATCGACAATTAAACTTAAGTGCCATTTAAATATTCATTTGAAATCGGCCCTAAAAATCCAACTCTACTACGGAAATAATATACAGGTATAAGATAAAACGTATATATGTGGGATCGGACTGATGGACGAACACAAAATGCTACTAAGCAACCCTGACCAATGACTTACAGATACAACACTGCTCAACGTACAAGGTAACACTGAAAACGACCGATTGACAAAAGGAGGAGGATACAAAGAAACGAATAAAGAAACACTCACTCGCAAATATACGGCCGCACGAAGCGGGCGAACTTGTAAAATTATTGTATCGTGTAATAAACTAAGAACGCCATCAAGCAGTAAATAAATCTACTTTTGTTAAACCCAACTCGTTGCATGTAATTCATTAATTAAGTAAGGCAGTCCCACAGTGGTGTCAGAATCGGTATCGTGTAAAAATCCCTTCGCCTATAAAAACAGCCGCGAAATAATAGTGCAAATTACACTTTTGTGCGAAAAAACATACTTTGGCTGCGTTGGACAGTTGGTTTCGCCAAAAATCCCACTCATTGTGCATCGAAAAGTGACTGCCAAGGCATACAAATGTGACATAAAATTTTAGGTCGCGTGATTATAGACTATATAGCCTGCATAGTCAGTCAAAATTCGGTACAGTTCCAGAGTGCATCGCAATCAAAAGCACCGTTAGCCGTTATAGTCCGTTCAATTATTATGGGCGTCACATCATCCAAAGCACCGTTAGCCGTTATATTTGTTGAAGCGCCGATCAGTCGACGCAGTGGGCAAACGCAGCAGAGTTGCAGCGAATCATCAAGTGAAGCGGCACTTAACGCGCAGTCGTAGGCTTCTATGCGAAACAGCGCTAAACGCACAGTCGTCAGTTTCTGTGTGAAACATCAAGTGCGCAGTTTCTGGTGCTTCGCAGTGAAGCAGCAGAAGGTTCAGCGTTGTCGGGTTCTGCGTGAAGCACCAGCATCGTTAAACCGCCAAGGCAGTAAAGCGCGGCAGTAGCAACAGCGAAAGGCACAGTCGAGTGCAGCAGTTACGTAAGCAGCGTACAACAAGGAAAGCAGCGAAGTAGACTAGTTGAGCGTAGCAGCAAAGCGGAAGTCAGCGCAGTAGCGGGTTGAACAGCGGCGTAAGAGAGAAGCGGCGAATACGCAAAAGCAAAGCTGCAGGAAGAAAACGAAAAGCGGTAAAATTGTGTTTGCAGTATAAAAGGTATGAGATTTTTATTTATTGGAGTTGTTGCGAACTACCGAATGGTCATTAAAGAAGAAGAAGAACTAATACCCACTAAGAAATTTATTCGAAAAAATACTTTATGTACGAGAACCAGATGAGCATATATTGTAAATTTTATTTTATGTCAGTTGTAATCCTTAGTTGCTATGTTTGTATGCGAAATGTATAACATAAGAGAAGTATTCCCTAGTAAGAAAATTTGATTTCAAGAATAATAAAACAAAGTGAACTATTGTCAAACCGACTGCATTAAGCAAACATACATAAATGCATAAATCGAAATGTGTGGCCAATAAGAAGTTTGTAGTAGTCATCCTATATCCATAAATAAGTAAATTTACTTCTTTCATTTTATTCGTTTTAAATATCGATATCATTAAATATCACAAAATTTGCATTTTTCGAATAAATTCAAATATTTCGTTTTGTAAACCGTGGACCGCAACGAAATTTTTAGTTTGACCGTGGACGGTTTAAGGGAAAAATTGGGCGATTTGGGACTTGCGACATTACAGGACAGATTGCTGGAGCACTTCGGCCTGAACGTGAGCGATGGCCATGATGCCG